CGGCAGGGGCCTCGAGGGCTGGGGGGAGAGGGAGGAGAATACACCCGACCGCTCCGCAAACCAGAGGCCAGACCTACGCTGTGTCCCAGCGAGACACACGCCCCGCGATTGACGTCTGAGGCGGGCAATCAGAGGCCGGCGCACAAAACGTCACAGAAAGTGGGTGGGCCTTCACGCGCCTTCAGCCTATGCGTTAGGGCCCATCTGACAGGGTACCGCCCCCTTTTAAAGACACAGAAAGCTTTGAAGTAAGGAAGGAGTTCGCACCCTCCGGAGAGGTCTTCCTTTGTAAAGGCTTCGTTTGTAACCAGAACTGCAAATCCAGGCCTTCTGGGAGATTAGCTGGCCCTCATTCATTCATCAACAGCGCCACAGAAGTGCAGTTGACTGAGATCAGAGAACAGGCACGTAGGGAACATGTGTCCAACACATCAACTGCCTGCCCTTGTGTGGCTTCTAAGTGATATCTCATCCCCTTCCAACTCACGAATCAGTAGGTTGCCAGGCACCATTAATGTTTGTTGAAGAAATGAACTTCCAGGATTGTCGCGTCTGGGCCCCTGGAATTGTGTGGTCACAGATGAGGCACAGAGCGCGAGCCAGGGCTGGTGACTCAGCTGGCATACAAGCTCATTATGACTAAACATCAAACAGAGGACTATGCTTCATTCAGAGATGTAGTCACCCGCCCTTGGCCCCTGGAGGAGGTGCATTAGGTGGGGGAGAGGTGTGTGGGGAGGGGGCTCAGTGCACTGCATGTGTCCTTTTTGCCGGTATTAACACCTCCAGGAGCAGGCCGTAAGCTATTCCCCACCCCCCTCTCACGCCCCTGTCTCGGGCACCAGGCGAGGCTCCTGGGCAAACAAAGGCCTGTGTCTTCCAAGTGCATCTGTTGACTAGGTGGGGAGTGTGGGGTCAATGGAGCTCAAGCAGCAATCACACTAAGAGCTAATTTTTCCTGAGCACTTACTGTGTACCGGGCACTGTCCTAACCTCTCAGCCTTCATTACCTGTCTTAACTTTCTGACATCTAGTGTAGGGAGGTAAACTCACAGCACGCAGGGGGGGTCAGTCCCAGGCAGCTTGACTCAGAGCTGGTTTTGAATGCACCGTGCATGAGGCTGCAGGGGGGGCCATTGCACGCCCCTCGCCCCTATTTTTGGAGAGTTCCTGCTCTTTGTTTTTTACAGCCTAGGAAGCCGAGAGGTGACAAAGCAGTCCATGCTGCTCAGCTAGGAAGAGGCCCGGCTGGGCTGGATCCCCAGACTCCTGACTCCTCAGCTGGTGCTCATTCCAGGCTGTAAGGCTTCACTCGGGGGAGGAATGACTGAGTCAGAGCGGTCACATGGGTGCAGGTGAGGCAGAAAGGGCTGGCGGGGGCATTGCCTGGGGACTG